TTTAGTGTTATAAACTGTCAAGTTTACCGCTGAGTTATTCAGGGAGTATAAAGATGAAAAAATTAGAAGCTTTGTGTTGAGTTTACTTACTGGTGATAAATATTAGTTTATTTCAAGTTACAACTTTTACTGTAATAAAGAATATTTTCTAAAATACTGTAATGTAATAATAAAAGATAATAGAATGTTGCTATTTGATAAAGGAATACAATGGGTTTTGGCAATCATCAAATCATTATGTTATAAAAAAGCGGAAAAGCTTATTTTGATACAAGCATAACAAGGAACTTTTCAATACAAAGTATCCTGTTAAATCAAGATTCTTCGTAGGTATTGCCAGTTAAAACAAAGATTGTGATTTCAAATTTTGTCTGTTGAGAAAATAAAAGAACACTTTTAACAAATTGGAGTAGTCTTTAATTAAAACTTGTCATATAATTACATTTTATAATAAAGTAAAATATAGTGATAGACTAAAGGAAATACAGCTAGTTAACACTACCAACCGCCAACTCTTGTACAACTCTTGTTAGAACGAAAAGTGGGATTTAACGGTCACTAACAACGCACTCACTGCCCCAAAGAGCGTAATACAATTTTTCTTTTTGGCGGTAATGAGAGGTGACCACAGAACTTCAGCTCCCCAGACCGATACGATAACCAACAAGCCTGTGAAGATCAAAGTCTAGCCCCCCCCCAGTGGAACAGCGGTATTTCTGCGGACTTACAACGGTAGAATCCGGGTTTCGATTCCCGTGGTGGGCAGAGCACAGATAGCTCATTGTGTAGCTTTGTGCTTAATTACAAACAAACAAACAAATACTCAGAAGGTATTTTATCGTAAGAAATATCTTACTGATATAAAACGTTTATTGTCCTCTTGACTTGTCTTGCTTATCCACTCAGTGAGCAACAATCCAGAGCATCTTGAAAATTCAAAAGTATAAACTGAATGTTCGATTTGATTTCAATGATTATTAAAACCAGAAATCCTGTAAGAGCTGTAGTCTAACAGGCACAGGGCCTTTTTGGTATCACTTTTTTATTTCTGATTTTAAGAAATAACCCGTGTTTACGGTATGATGTCCAGAAATACTGGTGTGATAAGAAACGCAAATCCTGACTGTCAGAAGATTTCGAACAAGGGGAGCTGGATTTTTTTAGAAGAATCCTCAACTTTAATGGATTCAACCATCGGAAAGAGCAGCTGCTTCCTGTAGGGTTTCAACTTTCTTTTCGTCCAAGTAAATTTTGAGGTCGTCATGTGCATCCGATGATAACTATCTCAGTTTTAACTAGAGAATCCTTAACCCCAGAACTTATTAGTGCGTGGAAGACAGACTGGATCATTTGGGTTTCTCTTCCAAATCCTAACACCTGTTTAGCTCTGTGTCATAACCACCTGTTTCATAGGAAATTTAATCCGATTTTCTAGAACAAGTGCATCCTATCAATAACGCTGTTGTGTTTCTTTGATATATAGAACAAGTATTTATAATATTATGTAATTAATTAAGTTGTGCAAACACCGATTAAGACTTTGTCTTGACAAGTAAAACACGAAAAAATAAATTTTGTTTAAACTATTCATCGAAATGTAAAATGAAGTTTAATTCAGTTGGACATTTAACGACAACACAAGATGAAACGATTTTTGTTTTGCTTCCACGGAAACCTTTTTATAGATAAAGTTTGGAAAATTAATATATTTGATCTCCGCGTGGCAAAACAGGTTATAAGATCTCCAGAACATCTTCTTCAGGAAGCCACTACGTTTATATGTTGTTATTTTACAAGTTAGTAGAATATTTAAAATAGTTTAAAATGTATTTTCTCAATATGTTAGTCGCTACAGCAAAAGAGTAACAAAATATAGTATAACCAGAATAAATCTGAATGAGCACCAATATCATAAGTATAAACCTAAAATAGAATTTAATTACCAAATAATACAAAAATTGGAATGGACTCTCATAATCCAAAAAATGTTTTAAATGAATAACAGAATTAGATAAATACGACTAACGTAATATAATCGTTACAAAAACAATCATCAATAGATACTTATATTACAAAAATTAACTTCAAGGAGTTATAATATTACAATACTAGCTTCTGATCAAAGCAAGCTACCTACATAGAGTATAACTAAAAATCAACCCGGTAATGAGTTTGGCTAACTTAATATACTGTTTTTCCATTCTTAAATATAGATATTAGAATCCTTTGTTGCAACAGCTGGATATCTTCGCTTTTTGCGATATATTTGGCCGTAATCTCAATATCTCTTAAGGTTCGGCCAGCTTAGAAAATTTAAGTTAATCCTAAATCCGTGTAATAAATTAGCAATCTAGCCTATATAAAAACTAGTGTGTGTGTCACGTTACGCTTGATTTCTCAAAATGAGAGAAGTTATAAAAGCCAAAATGCATTTGTCCATATGAAATATTTCGATTACTGTCTGACCATTACGGTTTTAGTGACGGGGGCGCAAGGGGGCCGTGAGAGTGTGGATGAGTGACGTGTAGTTAGTGTTGGTATAAATGCCTAAAGTAAAGAAGTAGTATATGATCACCTAGCCTAGAGCCAAGTGCATAAAATTAATCATGAAAGTAAAAATATCTATTCAATTTTAAACTTAAATCGTTTTTGGGACTCTAAATTAAGAAATAAGCAAATATGTTTCCAGTTTTTTATTTCATTATTGGTCATTATATAGACTAACAACAATATTAGGTTATACTTTTGTTGCTAAGTAACATGACATAAAGGCCATTCGATTACAATTTATTATCAAAACAAATTGGAGCTCTGAAATGTCAGTTATGCTTCGTGTTTTAGTGTAACGCACCTGAAGAAACTGTAACGTGAAACATTGAGTGGCCAGTTAAACAAAAACAATAATTTGGTGTTATTAGGTCGTTTATTTCTAGTATTACATTGTCTTCTATACACCAATATGCATTACAGAAATTAGATAATGAAAAATCTACTACTGCCATAAAATTACAAATATTGTGTTAAATCTTCTACAAGAAACGCATTTATTTTATATGAAACAGATATAAATAAATCTTTTTCATCCTAAATAAAGAATTCAAGGACTTTAACACGAATAAGGTAGTTTCTAAATAACAAAACTTTCTTGGGTATTTATGGATTTTGCTGAATGATTAAATAATATTTGTTCTATTAAAAGTTTCATCACTTAAATTTCGACCTTGTTAGCATGTTTGATTTTTATAGTAAGTAAAAGCTTCCTAATGAACGCAGTGTTGCCACCGTCAACAATGAATGGACATTTTAGAACAGAAAATCAAAATTTGTTAATAATAATTAAATAATTTTTCTTGTAAAATTATCAGCAGCCAATGTCGTTTTAATTAATTGGTATAAAATAGTCTTTATATATACACCACGACAGAATACATATAAAGCAAAACCAAATCCTAAGAATATTTAGCACCATACATTCAGATGGACATAGAACTGTCCTTAAAGATATTTGGTTCGGAAATCTTGAAAATTTCAAAATCCTAAAATTTTTGCAACCATTTCATAGCGACGACTTAAAGTTACCTGGAACAAAGATATTTCAAAAATATTTTGTAAAGAATATTACACCTACAATACCTTATTTGTAAGAAGAATTATGGGCGCGTTTTTTGAGTTACCTGTGAAAAAAAGATATAAAAATACAGTAGAAATCATATATATTTTCTAAATGGTGACGAAATATTAAGACTAGCCAAACAGCTTTCATCAGAGGCTATTGCATAAACAATATTTTTTTATTATAATGCCTGTTTTTAAATGCATAAATTAATTATTATAAGAGCAAGTTTAGATATATTTTTATATTTTCATGTTTGATTCGTAGGATTTTTAGAATATTCTAAGAAAGAAATAATAATCCCTACCTTAAAAAGAACTGATTAAAGAATTCGTTCACAAGTAAGAAAAAAAACATCATTAAGTAACATTGGAAGATTAATTTTGTGAATGTTGTTAATAATGTTTATATTTCAAATCACAAAAAGAAGTGCCTGAGAAACTAATGAATTCAACAAAACACTGTCGTTAACATTCCTAGATAAAGTCTTAAACATTAAGCTTTGTCGAGTTTAGTTTATGACAAGATAAATCTACTTGAGTATATAATATTACACAACTTCTACACATAACCGCGTCTCTTTCACTGTTGTATTAAACACTGTCAAAATAGCCCCGCCCCAAATGTTCTTCAAACTTGTGATCTTCTTAACCAATAATAAAAGTGTCGAAAGTGACGTCATAACGGACGTCAATCTTATATTTTCCACCAAATGATTTCCCTATAAAAGCGGTCAGCCTATCAGATCAAGCAGACAGGCAACAGCACTACAATCGGGCCCTAGAAGCTGTAGCAAGAACCTACCTGGCAGAAGAGTGGAACTTTCAGCTGAGTCTTTGCATCACTCTAGAGGTAAGTTCGCATCTATTTTCTAGCATACACTATCAAATCTGTAGTTCAACAACAATGTTGAAAACATGTAGGATTTGTTTCCTTATTTCAAATGTTTAAAATGCAAGGGAAACTGTCATACCTTTAAAAACGTATATATGTATGTATATATATGATATTCAAAAAGAAAACTAAATTTCCATATGAACTTTGTGTTGCTCTTGTTATTTAATCATTCATGAATGTCACATAGTTCCTAACATTTGTCTAATACTTTTAATGTAGTTACAGTAATCTTGTTATTTTGGTGTGCATGTATAATATACTTTCTAGGTTTTAAGTTTACGAGCTACTAACAAAGCACAAGAAACCTTTAGTTATATTTTCTTGAATGTCTGAATTTTGATATACAGCCAACAAAGTCCATTATACAATTAAGGGAGGATATCAGCCATACTCACCCAATATCAGCCATACTAGACAGTACTATTGTTTATAATTGTTTTTGTTTTAAGTTATTTATTTCTAATTGGAAAAAATGTATCTTAACCCTCATAAAATTGCGTATTTTTAAACCACCTTCATTTTCAGTTACAAACATTCTATTTCAGAAAAGTATTATATCATTTGAGAGATCATAGCTGTTTTAATATAACTATATATCCCTACTTTATAAAACCTAGATAAATAAAAATTGTACCACATTCCAAATATTTCTACTTTTAGTTCCTCCTTTGTATTATTCTTTTTACAATTAGATGCCCCAGAATAATCATTCAGAGAGATCTGTACTAGATGTACTCCATATTTGTTAACAAAATCCTAAATTGTATGTTTCATGAACAAAAAGTTGTTTGTCTATCTACGACATCTATATTTCAGTTCTACAGTATGTAGCAGTAAAGCTTACATGTAAAATATTAAAACTAAAAGTTTCATGCGCTTAAACATATAATGAGTTTACAACAAATATAATTCAGTTGCTGTTCTTTATTAGATATGGGAAATAATTTAAAGTTATAAGTCTTTGATTTACGTTAAAATAGTTTTTACAATTTTACTAGGAGTTTTTTATTATTTACTAGTAAAATTAATGAGCTTGAAGTTAACACTAAACTAACATATTGTGTTCATTTCCTTTTGTGGATAATTTTAAAATAGCATAAGGTTGTTTCATTGTGATAGTAAAACAAAGAGGTAGATGAAAAAGGATTGGAAGTTTACATTAAGAAAACGATATAATTCTAGTCCTATCGACAGATACATCAATCTTCATTAGTAGCAAAGAAAGAAGACAGGCTCACATGGAGATAACACTTGTGTTTAATCCAGTCTTTTTGTATTTTTCTTAAGATGCATATTTGTAATCTGATAATCAGGATAAAGCTAGATATATTTTGTATACATTGTACGTTGTAATACAAAGCTAATTCCACATGAAGTCTGATATCAATACTAATATAAATGACAACAATGTCTACAAAATTATACTTCATATAACAACGCACTTCTTTCTTATCTTACTTTCCAATAAACAAACCTGTCCTTTTAATGTTGTGTATATCTCTAAACAGCATGTCCCCAATTCCTTGTATAGTGTTAGTTACCCTAGTGTGTCCACTATATGCAGCCTTAATCAAAATTTGTCGTGATGTAATCTATTTTTGTATAATGAAATTCTTAACTTGTACTTCGTGTCTATTTACTCCAATAGAAACTCTATGGCCAAGGTATCAGTAATCGTTGGTATCATTACCATCGTCTTGTCAGTAGCCTTATCGGCTTCCATGCCTAAGAATCAGTGAGTTACAGAATTTTCCTTTTCAGATTGTTTTAAAGTTAAAATTTGTTATATATACTTCTTAAGTTAGTGTTACAGTTTACTCTTATTGAGCTTACTCTAGTTATAACGTTGGCTAAGTTATCTAGTTGTACATAGATACACAATTTCTATGTCTTATGTACGAAAGCATATAATTATTAATAAGAATTCCGTTGAACCAAGAATACATTTTATTATGCAAGATAAAGATACAAGTTAGAATTATGCTTAGATTTAATTACTAGATTCTAAACACAGAACTCCTAAATTGTTTAGTTATAATTTTTTCATATTATTTAAGATTATTAGTTTTTACAGCCTACGTGTTAGCATGTTTGTCTTCGCAATCGAAGGTCCCATGTTCGAGCCGTGAAATGATACTGAATAAGTTTCGCACTTTCAGCCGAGGGGCGTTTTAACTATAGTAATCAATACTGCTATTCGGTTAAAAGTGGCTGAGTAGTAGAAGAGTAGAGGTGAATTGTTGCCCTTCTTATCTACTGTTATAATCTGGGAATAGCTATGTCTGAATCTTCGGTTCTCTAACATGTTTGTTCAACCTATATGTCGTACATGATGTTACTGAATTTTAAATACCAAAAAAATATCGCTTAACTAGTTGCTTGGAAAGGAAACTCATTATTAATATTCTCTCAGACACCAAATCCTTTGGTATGTCCAATTGAAAACTTTAATTTCAAACTGATTTGTTAATATCAAATAGAACCCAAAAGGATTAAGTATGCTAGGGAAAAACTGCTAAATTCTGGTCTCATCCTGTTTTAATATAAGCTTCGTGTGCTGATTGTAGCTTGTGCATTATAGATAGATGCTAAGTGATTGATACATTTGCAGTGTTATATAGTGACAGATGATGTTTCTCAGTGAAAGAGGTTATATATGAGTGAGTGCCACGAAAATGCATTTTGATCTTATTTTTTTCTTTTTTAGATATAACAGTGAATCAGGTCAGTTAAATCTACGAACTTCGCAGTTAAAAATCAGTTCTATGTGTAGCTGAAAACAAATTTACTTTCCTACTAAGGAGCCAAATATTCAACTGAAACAACTAAAATTCAGAATGAAGTATGCTATATAAAATTAAGGATTTTAACATTTTATCATAATTTCCTTTCTATTAAGAAGTGGGGATTTGTTTGTGCTTAAATGTTATTCAGTATATCCCAATCAATTTTGAAAACATATTTACAAGTTTTTATAACATTTTTTTCTTGCGCCAACGTGTGATAAATATCAACCGTTGAAGCAAAAATTACTACAATACGAAAATACGAAAACATGTTTTAAGAAGTAGCACGCGAGTAACTTCCGCTCACTACTAGTATTTTGGTTTTGTCTTGTACATCGTTAATAGGTTTTTCCAAATACATTTACCCTACCGAATGCCTTCCAGTGGCTCAGCGGTATGTCTGAAGACTGATAACGCTAAAACCGGGTTTCGATACCCCCGGTCGGTACAACACAGCCTATTGTGTAGCTTTGTGGTTAACCACAAACAAATAAACAAAACCTATACGTACTTAGCATTCAAAAATAATGCAACCCAAAAATTCTATATGGTTATCTTTTATGCTTTCAACGTTGATAAATCGATAAATTGATAAATAACACATATTTTAACCTCGATACAAATTTTACAGAATTCAGATATCGCTAAAGATTGGTAAATAATAAACTGTACTGACAAGACGAGTGATGGAAATGCTACAAACTGATGTTAACAGGTATTGACTGAAATGTCGTAAAGAACAATGTCCCTTTATGCAAGACGTCCTAATTTTCTTCTGTTATATATATAATACAAAGACCCAGTTCTTATTATAACATAACTCCAAACATGTAAGGAAAAAAATGTTTTTTCAGTGAAATGTATTTCTTTAAATCATAACGTAAAACATTGTTTACAAAGTTTCTTGAGTTATCTTCAAAATTACAATAGCGAAATAGTCTTGGCTTTCGGCTATTTACCAGCAAAAAACAATCTATTAGACTCTATTTAATAACAATACACAAAATCTTATAAAGTGTCTATTTACAAAACAATTATATTCTGTTTAACGTTTATTTATTGACATATTTAACGTACAACAATTCACTAAGCTGGTTTTCAGGTGTCGTTTCGTGTATTATGTTGAGTCTTTTATCACGTATTCTAAAGATGAAGACAGAAAAGCCCGAAACACCATCTTGAGAACAAACTTCGAAGTTTATAACCACAACTGCGTTCTACACGTTAACAGAACTATCTAAACCCTCTTCAAAAGAATGCAGCTCAGTCCTGTGAATTCTGCATTCAGTAAAGTGAAAACAAATAGAATTCGTTTGAAATAATGTTTATTTACTAACATACACAGTAAACACACCCTTTTCTCGGTAGCTTCTTAACACAAAACACATCTAGCACAGTTTGATGTGTACTTATAAATCTATTGATTAACCACCGATCTTTAAAACTTTACAGAGTAATTCAAATCAAACTCTTGTTTCAGAACAACTGCTTTTCTTCGAGAAATACAACCTATTTCACATTTTAACTCAATAATGAACCACATCCTTTCTTAAATTTTAAATAACAATAAAAATTGTCAACTTTTAAAAATATATCTGTTTCTAAAGCAGATGGTCTGAAGACAAATCATCATTTCTAAATACACGAGTTTACCCATTCTACGTATTTCCGAAACTGCACAATTAGGGTTAAATAGATGAAATCTGAATATGTATTAGAATAGAATTAATAAGTTTATGGAGACAATCTTCAGATTTTCCTAAATTTTCGTACAAGCTACCTTTCTATATTTCGATACCCGTGGTGTGCAGAGCACAGATAGTCTATTATGTAACTTTGTACTTAATTCCAAACAAACAAATACTGTATTTTCAGCCTATTGTAAACTCATAGTTCAGAATTGAAATCAGAAAAAACTGGTAAAAAAACAGATCATATGCTTAAAGTAGAAAGGTTAAAAATTGGTTGGTTCTTCCCCTCATATTTTGGGTTTATAATTTATGAATTCTTAACTTTAGTTTAGTTACAAAAGAGAATCTTTCGTATGTCCAATGAGTTTAGTTGAGCAACTGTTAATCGACGGATTTTACTCTGTTGTTCAGCTTGGTTACTTTGGTTGTTTGAGGAGCCAGTCATTATACCAAATAACTCTAAGCTGTTTTAACAAAATACGGTTGTAGAGATCTCAGCTTTATTAACAGAAAAACCTTATTTGATAGCAATAATTGGGGGGGGGGGTAGGTTCAACAGACGCAGTCAATAAATCTGGACAAACTCTGTAAGTTTTGTTTGTGTAGTTGTCCAAAGAAATAATATAAGGTTGTCTAGTAGAACTTCTATTTATTAGTAAAGGTCACATATTAGTAAGCATCTGAGTTGAAGAGAACTCAAGGAGAAATCTGTCGTTATTTGGTACAGATGAACTCTACTTATTTGTCTCTTTGGGCCTTGCAGATATTACTCTCGAAACAAGAGTACTCTACAACTAGATAAGGAAAAATAAGATTGCTTTGGACATGGTGACTTTATTCTTAACAACGTATTTTGCGATAACAAATTTTTTCATTAAAATTTGTATCCTTATGTTGCCAAAACGCCGGCGAAACACCCTACCAATAAGTATAAAGTACCCTCTGTACAGTGAAACTAATCTGTAGTTATCATAAGTTCGACTAGTTTTCTTCTTGAATGCGAAAAGCATGATAAACGATAAGACGTTGAAAATGTATCTATAACTATATTGTGATTTAATTCTCTTTCACACTATTGCCTCATCCGTTATCTAGGTTGAAGCGCACTCTGGTGGAAATTGAACATCCTGATGAAGTCATTCGAGTCTTGACCAGTGTAGTGGAGAATATTCTTGCTTCTGAAAGCGGAAAAACGTACGTAAAAAAGCAGTCTATATTTTTTAGTGTCTTACTACAGATGCAATAATATCGCTATTGTTATAATTCAGTAATTATCTCAGAAAATATATAACAAAAGATACAACAATATATCAATAATGAATATTCTCATATCCAATAAGATTAAAAAAGAAAGTAAGACAGAGGTAGAGCAGTGCAACATATTTTCAATTAAGTAACAATGCTATAATGTAGGCAGCTTTCAGAGCGAAGAGTCTTTCAGGTCTAGAATTCAGATTATATTTTACCTTAGATTTTAATGAAAAATATATCAGTTCAGTTGTATCAACTATTTGTCTGTTAATATTTCATTCAATTTCAGTCAAATTTGACTAAAATGTAATGAATGGCAAACATTACACAGACAGCTTCCTCGTTTTCTGTAATACTATTCCATTGGACACTTTTTGTTGTTGCATAAACAATACATCAAGTTTTGACTATCTTTTATTCCGATATTATTTAGTGAGAAGCGAGGACTGGACTTAGGATTGTCCCGTGGATTTTCAGGAAGCCAAGCTGCTAAACATCTGATGGGATTAGCAGCTGCCAATTTCGCTGGTGGACCTGGTAGGCGGCGTCGCGACGTCAGCAACGAAGAATGAATGATAGAGTTAGAGCTGTTATTAAATCTCAACTCCTAAATAAAATAATACTAATTTCACATTTTAAATGGAATTTGCACATTAGAAGTGTAATCTAGTGTACTTGTAAAAATAAAATACTTTCTGCACAAAATACGGTTCTCTGGTTTTATTAAACAACAGAGCTTCACATTTAAATAAATTCAAGATTTATACCACAGAGTAATAAAACAGAAAATTAATAGAAATTAATAGAAAATTGTCTCCAAACGTTTCCAGGCCTAATGTGAACGGCTGTTATCATCTACTCCAAATAAAGCAGCGCCTATCGCAGTACTGATTAAACAATAATGATAGTCTAAGTATTTGATTATTTACAAAAAGTAAATTTTCAAAATTAAGTTGGGATAATCTATAAACAGCCAAATTATTCAAGATTGGACGTTATCTTAAAAACTCTTCCATCCTCATTTCTGGACTTCCCACCAGATTTAGAAAGCCCCGTGCGTAATAGGGATGATTTAGTAATTTGCATGTGCAATTTTCGCCAAACCAGATTTTGCATATAATAAATTGATCAAATTTCCAATTCCTTACACGCCTTACCCTTCAACAACAATACTAACAACTAGTATTTATAGCTCTTGTAGCTGAAATACTGGTACGTATATCTTACTCGAAACTAGAAGTGGGCTTTTAGTAATAAAGAATTCAATTCAATATGTAGATTATTTTGACATTTACATTGTAATTCTTTGTATCAATTAATATAACAATATCAGCACATTTAAGTAGTAGAATAGTTTTTTTTTACCGTAAACCTTACAAGAATATTGTTTTTTTTCAATCATTGTTGAGGGTAGTAGGTAAATAATCAACTAAAATTAATTTATTGTTATGTTTTATGTATAACCTATCAACGATTTTAAGATCATAGCCTCTGTATCTGGCTACATGTTTAAAATAAATAACCATAATCTTAAGTCACAATCATGAGTGTAGATTTTCTGAGCTATAAATACAAACGTAGAAAAGGCGGATAATTTGTTGAAATTATGTTGCGTATTCTTGTTGACAAATCTTGGACATATGGAAAACAAACCCTCATGTTATCAACTTTACACTTTCTTTTAACTTTGTACAAGATGACATTTTTTTTAAAGATATATATAATGTAGTGTAACACACTCCAAGCGTTGTAACTTAAATAATATTCCTACCGGTATAAATGATAAAGAAGCAGATGTTGATGAGTGCGAGATTTGTAAAATTCCTTATGTCTGTGGTCGATTTTACATTGGCTAAACGTGCAGAAATTTGAAATGTAGGATCAAGGAACATCAAAATGGGGTAGAAAAATATAAGGTAACTGAGTGGGCCTTAGTAGAACATGTGGCAAACACGTTTCATATTATATATTGGAATAATATTAAACTAATAAATCAGGTGGAATTAATATGTTAATTAAATATTAGGGAAACTATAGATATTGAAAAAGAAAGAAATACATTGTTCACAACAGGCTGAGAAGAAACGAAGTACTGGACATTTGTTATATAAGTCTAGATGGCGCCAGAGGAGTGTAAATTTATGTAGTTTTGTAAGTCTTAATCAAACTTCAACTTTCGTTCCTGTGGATGGTGGCGTAGGTCATTGAAATATGTATTCTTTGTAGAGATGGTCCCTAGTTTTAATAAGTTTTATTATGAAATTATTTTAATGCTGTACGCTTTTTAATTGTATATATTTTAATTTTTCTTTCGATGTGTTATTGTTGTGAAGTATTTGTTTTAGAGTTTACTTTTAGTGTTAGAAAATAAATTGTTTGAAGCTATAGATTTTTAATATCAAAATGTTTTTAAAGTTAAAGGCTATCTACGTTAGCCGTTCCTAATTTTGAAAAGCAAATGGTTAACACCAGCTCGTGAGCTATTATAATGTAATAGTGGAATTTGTCCGTTACTGTTATAATGCACCTGTAGGATCAAAGTGCGGATAACTTTTTCTTTTTCTTTTCTCTCGAGTGGAGAGAAATGGCGTAATGCAAACAATGGGACTTCACAAATAATATATATATGTACATGGGCATGATCTTCTTGAGCGTATGTGTCAGTCCAAAAGTAGCCCAAGAGCTGGAGGTGGATTGTGATAACTTAGTTGCTTTCCTTCTAGTCTGTAACGTTAAAATTATGGATAGCTAACGTAGATAGCCCTCCAGTAACTCGGCGCGACATTCAACAAACAAGCAATACGTATACATAAATGTACAGGAATATAGTTAAACAGATACCTTTTAGTGTTTGTACTTTTAATGAAACAGTAAAATTACAAATTGTAATGCTTGTTTTGTCTATATATATTATTCTATTATTTGTGTGTTTAGATACACTTTTTTTTACACGAAATTTGTTTTAAGTCTTACAAATGAGTTGTGAGTGCCTCTCTCCGCTACTTGTTTTGCTGTAATCAATTTCTAAACTTTTATATGAAATGTTGACAAATCCTCACATTTTTCAATATAACTTTTACAATGAATAAATATTTTATAACACAAAAACATGTAAACTAAACTGCAGCAACAAATCGATCTCGACTGTTCGGCAACATGTACCAGTTTTAAACAATTTTAATGTTGTTTAACCTATAATTATGAGTTTGAGAGATGAATTTACATGAAGAAGAATTTTAGGTTGATATATTTCAAAACTTGGAAGGTTTGGAATAAAACTTTAGGAAGTTTGAAATTCTGAAGAAGATATTAAAATTCAAAGGAGAATTCAATTATTTATAAACCGAAAACATTTTATATAAAACCAAGAGCACGGTTATTATTGCCTTAAATAAACGCCCTTTTTCTGTTTACTTCTTCTATTTAACTTTAGCCTAATGTTTACTAAATAAACCAAAATATTTTAAGGTATACACTAATATATAATTTTCCTATAAATTATGTTCGAATAAATGAAACTGTGGACTTTAATTCAGTATGAGTAACATGAAATAGGACGACTTGGCCAATAAGAACCAGTATCGCATAAACAGGGTACACTTTACATTTCGAGGAATGAAATCAAATATCCTAGTAAGAGAGGGTTTTCTGTCAGTCAGAATTATTCTTTGTTTTTAACTGCTACATATGTGTCATCTTTATGTTGCCTTAATTATTTTTAGTACTGTATGTATTATATATTACCCGATATAAAAGTTTTATCAAGCAATACTAACTTTTCATTATTGTACCATATTTTGAACGATTCCTCTAATGTCTCGATCTAATCCGCTGGACTATATTAATAAAATAAATATATCTTGTGAAATAAGAAAATATTGTACATAAGCTTAATGTAAACCTTAATTGTTTTGCCATAGTGTTGAAGTGTTTTACTTTAACAGTTATGATATCGCTTTGTAAAACTTTTTATGATGTTCTTCCTACTCCTAGAACAATCACTAAAACGAAAAATATATAAAAAAAGCTACTTATTGGCGTAAACATCCACAAAAGCCTCTTCTCTTGACACATTTTCTAAATTACTTCAATATATTCTTCATTTATAACATGGCTTTCTATAAAATATTTTACGTTAAATTAGCCACAAAAAAGATAAGTGTTTTATAACGTAGTGGTATGATAATGTTGTTTAGTTAGTACAAACCAAACAATGGGCTATTTCTACGCTGTTTGCCAAGTAAATTTACCGTTGACAGCTGAGGGGATATTTTAAAATAAGTATTATCTGTAGTAAAGAATAAAAACAACATTGGAAAGTATTGATATATCCATCAACACATAGTTTTCTATACAATCCAAATCTGGGAATATATAAAATTAAAATTTAAAGTCATGATACAGTTCGTTATTTTTCGAAGCAACTATTAGGTTATTACTGACCACGGGACTCTTAGCTGCTATTTTATTCATACCGTACGTGCGATGTTGGACTTTTATTACTACCTATATAACTAAATATGCAAAATTTAAAAAATCATAAAATAATTAACTTTCCTAAATTTTATAATTTGTTTTTGACGCATAAACGTTTATTTAAAGTTTCCTTCAACAAAAAACTCTGGTCGTTATTAAACTAAGCTTTAATTTTCTTCTTAAAGTACAGTAAAGTGCTCCATTTCGTGAAATTTAAAGATTACTTTTTTACTTTTACTCTAAAAAGGCATCTTTGATATTAGGAAACCGTCGCCTATAAAGGCAGTCATATCTTAATGGAATGTTTAAACCATAATTAAGTATTTGAGGCAATTAACATTCCAGAAATATTTCTTATGCTTTTGAAATTTTCTAATGTTTAAAATGACAATGTTTAAAGAATTATTATTTTACTTTCCTCAAGAATCTCTACAGCTTCTTACTGATTGCCAAGATTTGGGTTTGTTTTTATAGTATTAAGTTTTGGTCATACTTGTTAAATAAAATCCTATTAAATTTAGTTTTGTATACAACAAAATACGATTTTTCTGACTTTACTCTCAGCTGAAGTGTTATTAGTTAGAAAAGTTCATTTCCTGGATAATTGAGAAATAGAACATTTAAAATGCTGAAATTGTAAGGTTTCGTATGCTTTGATTTGTTTTCTTCAATAATTGTTTTTTATAAAACGTTAGCAACAATACCACACTGATAAAACACTAAAAATGTGTTTATAAAATAATGATACTAAATTAATAGTATTAATAGTAAAACGTTAGCAACAATATTTCACTGATGAAACACTAAAAATGTGTTTATAAAATAATGATACTAAATTAATAGTATTAATAGTAAAACGTTAGCAACAATATCTCACTGATGAAACACTAAAAATTTGTTTATAAAATAATGGTACTAAATTAATAGTATTTGAAAGTCATTGTTTGAAACTATACATAAAATTTGCAGTAAATAATCTTCCTGTACTTTTAATTGTGAAATATTTCTATATTTTTTGAATAAAAGCTCAGTTTATTTTGAAGTACTAAATGTTTATACAAAATTAAGTAGTATATGTAGTTTGATTTTTTTTAATTATGTCAACTAATGGAAAAGTTTTTAATCAAGATCTTCCATCAAAAATACTTTTTTTACTAAGAAATCATCTTTGAAATTACTATGGAGACAATTTTGATGTAATTATTTCTGTTTTTTTTTCTTTTCT